ATGCTATTTTGTTTAAAGGAAGAAATGGGTCCTCAGGAGCTCACCCGGCGACTGGCAACAGTGATCACGCATGTCGGTAAAAGAAGTTTATTTTTTTCCTGGCTTACATTTTATGATTTGGGCTGGAGAAGTGGAGTCTCTGGGGTCTCGTCTCTTCTCTGTTCTCACCTACTGTTCAGAGGCAGCATCCTCCCTTGCGTCTTGGCCATGTTGCTTCGGGCACAGCGTGAGGACAGTAACAAAAAAAAAACAAACAAGTGCGCAGGCCACGCAGGCCTCCCTAATCCAGGCTCGGCCCAGGGAAGGCTATGGGGCAAGTGTATTCAGGAGGCAAGTTTGTTTGGCTCTTAATTAAAGGATACTGGATTATTACAGTCTGCTAATCTTGTCAGACTGCAGGCAAGTAGTTTAGATGGATCATGAGAAACCTTGGAAACTAGTGCTGGTACTTTCCAGCCGAAATGACAGCTAATCTACTATTGGTAACATTGGGCCTCTGTGCTCTGACAGCCTACTAGATGTCAGAAGCGCTATCTGGAGGTGTTTGCATTTCTCTGGTCCCTGGTGACTCCCAAAGACAGCGGTCTTCAAATTCAAGGAGGGAACAACTTTCATCTTCCAGGAGTTAAACAGGGAATACACACACGCAGACATTCTTTGTCCCTGAAAGAAGTGTTGCTGCTGGAAAGATAGGCCCTATGTAATAAAGGAAAGAGGGTACCGAGGCAAGTAAGGGGGGTTTCTTAGTATTTCCTCCCTCATTAGGTTCCTGGCTCTTTCTGGATCTGCGTTCAGATTCAGATCCTTGAGATGTGACTGGAATTACTGAGATATTTTCACTGTTGCTCTTCTCAATTTGGGATTGTATGTGAACACAGATTAATTTTCTTTCCTGGAGTGAGGACATTTTTTTTTATTTTTTTTTTGCCCGTCGTTTCCCATACAGTTGTTAAAATGATCTTTTTTAGTTCTTGTATGTTGACTCTTGCATTTTGAGTACCTTAGTCCAATGTATTTGATGCTATTAGCTTACATCGGAATGCAGGGGCATTAATAGTTTGCAGAAGTTAATTATGTGAGAAGTTCTAGCGTTGGTAAGTGTTTCTGAAAAATGTTGCTGGTGCTAAGTGTAGTGAGCTCTGGTAGCCTAGTGGTAAGAAGATGCACTGCAATCACAAAGGCATGTGGTTCAAATCCACCAGCTGCTCCAATGGGAGTAGGATGGGCAGTCTACTCTGTAGTTATCTACTGCCTCTGAAAAAAGTGACCGAGGGTCAGCTGTAAGTCAGTTTGGAGTGTTGGCACACAATAATAGTGCTAAATATGACTATTGAAATGGCATTGTCTTTTTAAAATAATATAAATAAAAATAACGTTTTCTTTTATATTGGTTTACTTACAAAGTTCATATACATTGTGTTTCACACTATCCTTCACTCATATTATGTTTCATACAATCATTCCCACCCATTGTATAAAATGAATCTACATTGAATTATGCCCACTATTACTCTGAAAATGGACTTTTCTTTAAGAAAGTCAGTGGAATCCTAGAAGGGAAGGCAAATGTTCAACACTGTAATGAGAGAAAGAGAAAAGAACTACCAATTAAGCAGAATTTGAAGTTTGAAATAATGTTGAAGAATGGAATGATAGTGTTAAATACCAGCATGTCCATTGGGAAGGGTGGTGGACTGGGGGTATGGCCATTTGGATTTCAGTTATTCTCTTTGCAGGTTATTTAGAGACAATAAGGTTGGCTCAGGATAGAGCAGGGTTCAGAGCTGTTGTACATAGGGTCGCTATGAGTCGCAGGTGACTCTATGGCACATAACAACAACAGTGTCCATTTCCACAGAATAGAAAATGGAAATGTTCATAATGCTTTCCTTCATAGCTCCAAGGCTACTTGTGACCATAAATTACATAATATGGTCTAAGCTATGATCTTAAGTGCTCCTTCTGCCACTGCAGTTACTGGGCAGATAACTTGGCCTCCCTTAGGCTAAAGGTTCACACCCTGAGGTGGCTATCATAAACTCAGATTCATACCTGGGTTATTATTCAGGGAGCTGGAATAGTGGTTAAGTGCTTCACTGCTGAGGGGAAAGTGTCTAGCCTACTAGCCAGCCAGTCAGTTAACTGTTTGCTGTTAAAGAGTTCACTCTGCCCTGTAGAGTCCTATGAGTTGAAACAGACTTGAGAACAATTGGTTAACAGGATCTAAATGTAAACTATTCTGCCTATAGACAATTCTCCTTGACTATGAGCATGCTCCTTAGAGGTAAGGATGGGGAAACTTTGTCTCACATACTGTCAGGTGTTTGAGCTCAATGTCAAGAAGACAAAGATTTTCACCACTGGGCCAATTGGCAGCATCAGGATGGATGGTGAAGAGATTGAGATTGCACACAGCTTTAGTTTGCTTGGCTCCACAGTCAACACTCTTGGCACCAGTAGCCAGGAAATTAAAAGATGTATTGTGATGGGAAAGTCTGCTGTTAGGGACCTCTCCAAAGTACTGAAGAGCAATGGTGTCACTCTGGAGACTAAGGTGCATCTGATACAGGCCATGGTCTTTGCGATCACTCATTATGCATCAGAGAGTTGGACAATGACTAGGGAGGATAGAAAGAGAATTGATGCCTTTGAGTTGTGGTGCTGGAGAAGAGTATTGAATGTACCATGGACTGCTAGGAAAACAAACAGATTCGTCCTGGAAAGGGTTAAACCTTTTGCCTCCTTGGAGGCAAGGATTCTGAGGCTCCATCTAACATTCTGACATGTTGTGAGGAGAGACTGGTCCTTGGAGAGGGACATCATGCTTGGGAGGGTGGAGGGACAGCACAGGAGGGTAAGACCCTCTATGAGGTGGATTGATTCAGTGACTGGGGTAATCGGGATGGATGTGTCAGAGACAGTGAGATTGGCACAGAACAGAGCAGGGTTTAGGGCTGTTGTATATAGGGTCCCTATGAGTCACAAGCGACTCGACGGCACATAACAACAACAACAACAACTGTCAGGAGGCACTAGTCCTTGGAAAAGAGCACTGCTTGGCGAACTGGAGGATCAGAGAAGGAGAGGAATTCCTTCAATGATATTAACACAGTGATTGATTGCAGTAGTGGGTTTGAACAGACTGATTTTGTAAGGATGGTGAAGGATGGAGCAAGGTATTATCTATTGTTATGTTTCATCCCTAAGAGTCGTTATCAACTCAGTGACATGTAAGAACAACAGCAAACACCAGGAGGCCTGGAAGGTCCAGGGTATATGATGTTTCCTTACTGACTTTACTCCTTCCTTCCATGGGCAGCTTCATGCAGGACACCAGCATAAATATACTGTTGATTTCAGCTTTCAAAAGGCTCCTAATGTTTGTTTGCTATGTAATATTCTGCTCTTGTGTGTGAAATACCACAGACTTGATGGGATGTACATCCTTGTTTTCATTTTACAAGGAAGGAACTAAGAATCAAAGAAACTTACCTTTTAAGGTTTGTTGCTGTTGTGTACTGTGGAGTTGGAACCTCCCCATAGCTGACCCTCCAGAGGGTTTTGAGACAGTTAATCACACGGGAGGAGATTGCCCATCCTTCTGAGGAGCAGCTGGCAGATTTGAACTGCATGCCTTTGGGATTGTAGCACAGTGTCTTGTTACTAGGCCACCAGTTCTCCTTTTAATGTTTAGGGGGTAACAGTTCAAGCCTGGAACCCAAAACAGCTCTTTGGACATTCAGTTGTAATTTTTTTAAAATTGAGATTTTAATGAAAGTTTATAGAGAACTTGAATTTCCATTCATTTGTTGTTGCACATTTTCCTCCCTGCCCACCCCTCCCCCCTAGTTCATTTTTTTCTTTGGGAAAAAAAATCTTTCATTGTTATACAACCTCTCCCCCCCACCACCTCCCCACCCCGTCCCAGTTCACTTTACTATGCAGCTTTTAGTCTGGACTCCTGTCATGCAATTAATACCTAATCATATATTCCTTTAAACTGTTCTTTCCCTCATCCATTTCAGTGCAGTTGGAATTTTTATAAGGAATCTCATACCTTCATAGAGGCTGTGGACCTGCTCTGTGTGGGTAGATTTTCTCTATGTTTGACTGTGTGCCGGCATTGCCACTGTTTGCAGCCTTTGAAGCACACGTTTGTGAGTCTGGAAAAGGTGGGAAGGGCTTGGAACACAGCCATCAGTTCTTAGCATTGTCATAGCTCATTTAGTCCTGTGCTGGTGAGGTGACACTCCATGCTTCCATGTCACTCTGTTCCTTCTTTTTGCCGAGCCAGTTGCTCCTCTAGCTGCCCTGTCTTCACTGTCTGCTGTCTCTTGGTTTTGTTTTTAGTTACCTTTGAGTTGGCCCTTGACTCCCGGTGAACAGATCGATACACGGCTATGCTGCCTAATCCTACTTCACTCCCATGATTGCTTGTGAATCGAACCATTGTGCTCTACAAATTGGCTTATTTTCAGAAGTAGATTGCTAGGTCTTCCTTTCTAGTCAGTCTTAGTCCCAAAGCTCAGTTGAAGCCTGTTCAGTATCAGAGCAACACACAAGCCTCCATAAGTTAGAGGGGTGGTGACCACTTTGGTGAAGAATTGCACTCAGATCTCCTGTATGGAAGGTGGGAATTCTACCACGGAGTCTCTTGTTATGTGTCCTTGAGTTGGATTGACTCATAGTTTTTCAGAGGCTATAAATTGCAGGCAAGAAGACTGTCAGTGTTCCTCTCAGGAGCAAGCTGGTGAATTTAAATTCCCTGCCTTGGGGTTGTCAGCACAACTCCTTACCCCTAGGTCACCTGAGCTTCCACTGAGTCCCTTAGACTTGACAATGAACCATCCACTTGCTTCCTCCTTGGCCTCCCCACACCACCTTCCCATCAGCACTTGAGTCCTGTTGATTCCATTTATAAAAAGGCTTTGCAAGTCTTTTTTTATTGTGTCTGTGCCCACCAATGCCTGATTTGACTTATTTCAGACTTTAACTCCTACCAGTTATTTATTTGTAAAACATCCTGACTTTCCTGGCTCTGCTTCTAATCTATATAAGAATTCAGATTTTTTTTTT